TAAATTTATTTAAAAAAAAAAAAAAAACACAAAGGAAGTATTTAATTAGTGCAGTGGTTAGAAATCCTTACAATATTAATTGAAGATTTAAGATAATTTCAGTTGTTAGGGGTGCTGTAAACGCCTTTTAACCGCGAGTCAGGTTCGTTGAACCTCGGACTATCCAGAACATCAGAGCCCACCAGATCTGATGACGTGTCGGCAAACCATTGGCCTTAAAAGTTCAAAAAAATTATCATAACCAAAAAAATACTGAAGATTATCCAGGTTCATGTGAACTTGATCGTCCTGTAGAATTCCCCATATTCACCTGTAAAGCGCTCCTCTTCCCCCCCATCGTTGTCTTCTCCCTCCTCCGTCGAAACTTGTATCTGCACAGAACAAATTCTAGGGTTTTCAGTGAACAAATTAGGTCCAAAATTATAACCCGAATTTTAAAGCTTTGGCGAATTTCTGTGTCATGGAGGAATCCATATGTTTCCGAATCAAATTCAGTTCATAACCAAATCCTAACCCACCATTCTAATGACTTTCATCAGCGGTGAATGGCCCGACTTCACTTAAGCACTTTCCATTTCTTCATCGTACTCTACTTCTCTTTTGGCTCCACATTCACCAACTCTAGTCTCTCCGCCTACGCTTCCAGCCACCTCGCCGGTTTTTCAATAACGGATTTTGATTCTGATGACCTCTTAATTCATCAAGACTACTCCCCGCCGGCTCCACCACCTCCTCCTCCTCACGCACCGTCGGTTTCTTGCACGGATGATCTTGGTGGGGTGGGCTCTCTGGATTCCACGTGTAAGATTGTTTCCGATTTGAATCTCACGCGTGACGTGTACATAGCGGGGAAGGGAAATTTCTATATCTTACCGGAGGTGAGGTTCCATTGCCCGTCTCCGGGCTGCTCCATTACTATCAATATATCGGGAAACTTCTCGTTGGGGGAAAATTCTTCCATAGTCGCTGGCAGTTTTGAGCTTGAGGCGTACAGTGCTAGCTTTGACAATGGTTCAACTGTGAATACTACGGGTTTGGCAGGGAACCCTCCACCTCAGACCAGTGGGACGCCTCAGGGAGTGGATGGGGCAGGTGGGGGTCATGGGGGGCGAGGTGCATGCTGCTTAGTGGACAAGCAGAAGCTGCCTGAGGATGTCTGGGGCGGGGATGCTTATTCATGGTCGTCATTGCAGAAACCCTTGAGCTGTGGGAGCCGGGGAGGGTCCACCAGTAAGGAGGTGGATTATGGAGGGGGAGGCGGTGGGCTGGTGACTATAGAAATTGAGGTCTTGTTGGAGATTAATGGAACCTTGTTGGCTGATGGTGGTGATGGGGGGACCAAAGGTGGTGGCGGGTCAGGTGGGAGCATCTATATCAAGGCCTATAGAATGTAATGTTATCTTCTTGGCTCTTGTTTTCTTTGTTTCTTTCAATTTTATCATTGGGCTTTGATTTTTTCAACTTCTAAGTTCTGGTTGATAATGATGATTTGGTTTCATTTGCTTGGCGACTGGACTTTTAGGGAAAATTAGTATGATCTTAGATTGAATTGTTTTTGTCTTTGTCCTATGCTTCGATAGCTATGAAGGCTTCTAGGTTAAATTATATTTTATTCTCAAAAGTTCAATGGTTTGAGATGATGTCACGGAAGCACTGTATTCTTCTTTAGTGTTAATTGCTGGGAAGAGCAAAGTGTGAATTGTAAGCTGAGGTTGACATTGAAGATCACTATATGAGAGTGATAGTTGATTCCTTTGATAGAAACCCCTCAAAAGTTCCAAATCAGCTTCTGGAATTTCTGCTTAATAGAGTTGAGAATGGTGATGAAACATGCTCTGAAGTTGATATACTCATTTTTAATTTACTTTTTATTCCTGACGTTACTATGCCCATTGTTTTAACCTTTTCACTCCTAGACATCCTAAAAATGTAAAAAATCTTCAATTGAAGCTTTTCTGGAAAAGGGTTTTGCATTTTCTGAGGTTTCCATTTTGTGTCTTAGTGTTGTGGCATGCAAGTATTGAGATTAAAGTTCGTGTTTAAAATTTATTGGCAAGTAGTTCATTTCAGTCACAATCAGTTTGTAGTAATAACCTAGAAACTAATTGCTTGATTGAAAAACTATAATATGGATTAATTATGTATAGCTAAGATTGTTACATCAATTTATGTTTACAAAATTTTATATACCATTATCTGCCATTTTGTAAAGAGCAGGATTGGAAGTGGCTTGATAAGTGCCTGTGGTGGTGATGGTTTTGCTGGTGGGGGTGGTGGAAGAATTTCAGTTGATGTTTTCAGTAGGCATGATGACCCAAAAATTTTTGTTCATGGTGAGGCTTTTATTATTATTATTATTTTCTTTATTAATCCCATAAACCTTCTGAATAAAGTCAGTAATTTGAACAAGGAATTCAATTTTTTATCAATTCCATTTTATATCCAAATATGTAAAACAAAGGAGCAGGTTTTGCCTGACCAATCAAGTCATTTGTTCTGTTAATCCTTTTCAGTTAATGCAAATTTCTATTTAATATTTGCAGGAGGGAATAGCTTGGGCTGTCCAGAAAATGCTGGTGCTGCTGGGACCTTATATGATGCTGTGCCTCGGAGCCTTATTGTCAGTAACCACAATAAGTCAACAGATACAGAAACTCTTTTGTTAGAGTTTCCATATCAGCCGCTATGGACTAATGTTTATGTCCGTAATGGTGCTAGGGCTACTGTTCCCTTGCTTTGGAGTCGTGTCCAGGTTTGTGTTTTGATGCCTTAATTGACAAAAATGTTAAAATGCTTATATAGTATGAACACATGATCTTTTTCCAAAAGAGGATTAGAGAATCATGGTGCTTCTCTTTTTATTACTGTGGTTATATGTCATAGACTTATACATTAATCATGAAAAGTGCATATTGTTTTTCTTTTATGTTATTTTCCAATGCTTTATAATTTTCTATGGATTTTATTTGGTGAAACCTCTAGGGTCTAATTCTGGTATGTGTTTACTGTATAGGTTCAAGGACAGATAAGTCTATTATCTGGAGGGTCATTGAGTTTTGGCCTTGCTCATTATGCTTCATCAGAATTTGAATTATTGGCAGAGGAACTGCTAATGAGTGACTCCATAATCAAGGTAATCAATAAGGACTTCTTTATGTACTTCATTATGTGAAGTATTTCAATCTCCATTCCATGAAATGATCTTCATTATGCATAGCTTCTTGATATTTTTGCACTCAGTTGGAGATGAAGACTTCACATTTTTAGTGGCATCTTTCTTTCTAAGCTTTTTGAGTTCCTGATCCTTCTGATTCTGATAAACCAATTTTCTTCCACCTTTTTGGATTCTGTTATCTATCTGAAGTACTATTTTGTGTCACATTGTTAACTAGCCCTTAAAAATGCTAAAATATTCTTTTAGAAGCAGCTGAACAATTTTTAGTGTAATCATGTGTCCTTCATTTGCTGCTTCGTTCAACTTATTCTTTCATGTTGTTTATTTTGCTTCTTCCAAGCTGCTTGTTTTTTAGCAGGACTTTTTATATATCAGCTGCTTTAACTAGTTGCTATGTGTTTCTTTTTCTTATTTGCAAGTTTTTCTTGTTTAATCATCATACTTTCAATTTGTAATGTGGTTCTGGCTGCTGGCATGATGTATTATCTCTTTTGGATCCATGCCAGGTTTATGGAGCTTTACGCATGTCTGTAAAAATATTTTTGATGTGGAATTCAAAAATGCTCATTTATGGTGGTGGAGATGTAGCTGTTGCCACTTCCTTGCTTGAGTCCAGCAAATTAGTTGTTCTAAAGGTATTGAATCTGCAATATTTTTACATTTCCTTTGCATGTTTGTAATAACATTTTTCTTCTTGACTCTTATTATTATTATTTTTTCTCTTTTTAACATGTAGGAGTCATCTGTCATACATTCAAATACAAATCTTGGAGTTCGTGGACAAGGTTTATTGAATTTATCAGGCCCAGGGAATATGATTGAGGCACAACGTCTTGTTCTGTCACTATTTTATGTTATTCATGTAAGTGACTGCTTTATTGTAATTGTTGATGGATCATGTTTTGTCTGAAGGGTGGGTTAGAATTTTTCATGGCTTAAATTTCCTTGGTGATTATGCATTAAAAACTGAAAAGTGTGACTTGGGAATGAGGACAATGTAGTTTATGGACATACTGGGTCACCCTTGTGAGTGGTTTAATTTACAATTGAACTTGTTTAGGCTTTATTTAATGGTTTTTAAGAGTTAGGGATAACGAGAATGAACTCTCCTTAGGGAGTAATAGTAGTCCTTTTCTGTTGTCTCTACTTTGATTCCATTTCCATTTATAAACTGTGTGATATTAATTTGTCATCACCTGCCCACTTTTTTTTAAAGGCTTAGTAAGGCAAAGATTGCTTTGTAATTTTTTCTTCCGTTATAGTTATGAATGCACTATGTTTTTTGTAAACTGTTTTTCAGATGAAAAGAAGATTGTTGGCCAGTCTATCTTGTTGGAAAATAACGCTGCTGTTCACAATTTGACACACTTCTTAGTTCTTTCTAACATTTCCATCTCTGTGTGGTTGCCATATTTATCTAAGTAGGTTCCAGCAGCTTTTTTTGTGCCTATAAATATTTCTGTACAGCCAGAGCTCTATTTGGTTTTTGATAATTTGATTGGTTACATTACCACCATAGTGTTATATGAGTCTTTTGGCATTTTTCAATCAGTTGCTCAGATGTCTTCCGTTCAACTCACTTTGGCTATCACCTCAACGCAGTCATAATTGGTAAAAGGAAAGAATTAGATGGGAAATTATTTCATCCAGTTTGGTTGGTGGACATGCTAGTTTCTACTTTTTAATTGATTGGTAGAGGTATGAATGGTGATTTAATTATTTCTGTTTTGTATAAAAGGTTGGACCTGGATCTGTTTTGCGTGGTCCCTTAGAGAATGCAACAACTGATGCTGTGTGAGTTCTGGACTTGGTTTTATCTGGTTTGAAGTTAGCATTTGTTCCCCTTTTCTTCTCTTAAAATGTATTGACTATTTTCCTTTTCATACGAAATAGCACACCAAAACTCCATTGTGAACTTCAAGATTGCCCTTCTGAACTACTTCATCCTCCTGAAGATTGCAATGTTAATTCGTCTCTGTCATTTACTCTTCAGGTGTTACTTAGTGCAGTTGTACATTTGTAAAGTTTGAATACTTGTTTGTTTCTGCTTGTTTAACCATTTCATCAGTATTCTTTTAGATATGTCGAGTTGAGGATATCACTGTAGCAGGCCTTATAAAAGGATCTGTTGTTCATTTCCATCGAGCAAGAACTATATCTATTCAGTCCACTGGGACAATAAGTACATCTGGGATGGGTATGATTTAATAATCTTCACTGTGGTTTCAATAATGATGTTTCCTTAAACATATACTCCCTTTTTGCTCTGTTCACATACACGCCCACAGATAACTGCCCACAAATATGCATGAAATCAATCAATAGAAAATATTTTCATAAACCTTTCTGTCATTCTTTATTCTCTCAGTAGAAGTTTGCATAACATATTTTATTGTCGAATTTAATATTGGGATGGACTTGCATTTGCTCTTTACAGGCTGCGTAGGTGGTGTAGGTAGAGGCAACTTTTTAAGCAATGGCATCGGCAGTGGTGGTGGCCATGGTGGTAAAGGCGGACTTGCTTGTTACAATAGTAGTTGTATTGAGGGTGGTATTTCATATGGAAATGCTGATTTGCCTTGTGAACTTGGGAGTGGAAGTGGAAACAATTCCTCAGATGATTCAACAGCTGGCGGTGGTATTATAGGTAAGCTATCTTGGGTTAATTTGTGGGATGTATGCACAGAGTCTATTTTGTTTTTTGATACTGGAAGTCAGAAATGAGGAAATGTTGGTGACAGCTTATGCCTCTCCATCCTATCATCTCTGTTGCTTGTTGATGATAAGTTTATCAACCATGCTGGTCAGATAGGACATAAGTGTAATTTTTATATCTTGTTCCTTAGCTCTAAATGCCTTTTCAGATTCTTTAAATTAAGAAATTCATTTTGGTTTAAAAGCATATAATTTGTGAGAGAGATAGGCTGTTTTTAAGTTCAAGTTTTGTCTGTGATAATGGAGCTCAATATTTATATTGGATTGCCCCTTGTTTTTGTGTGATTTTATCTGAAACAGTGATGGGTTCTATGGAGCATCCACTGTCAAGTTTATCCATGGCAGGCTTTCTGAGGGCAGATGGTGAAAGTATTGACAGAAGTGAACAATCATTTTTTGTTGTGGATGGTTTGAATGGAGCTCCAGGTGGTGGATCTGGTGGAACTGTGCTTCTTTTCCTGCAAACATTAACTCTTACTGAGACTGCTGTCCTTTCTAGTGCTGGAGGATATGGTAGTCCCAATGGAGGTGGTGGAGGAGGTGGTGGAAGGATCCATTTTCATTGGTCTGACATTCTCACTGGAGATGTGTACCAGCCCATTGCCACAGTGGAAGGAGGCATCCATGCAAGGTTTGTATAAAGAGCTATTACTTAATGAGGACGAATTGGTATCTATAACTAGTCCCCAGCATTTTGATAACATTTATTTGGTTAAATGAATCATATGCTCACAATTGTAAATATTATAAATGTGGTTGGTGGTATATGTCTGCTAGAAACATTGTCCTTGCGCCTGATATCTATCAACTATCAGTTTCCCCAGTAATTTCTGCGTTGTTTGGGTATTAGGTTTTTCCATACATACATTTTTTAATTGAGGCATATGAGAAAACAGTAATTAGTTAAAATCATAATGGACTGACTCTTACCTTCAAGAACAAACTGACATATTTTGGAGATGAACAAGTACATAATATACAGAGAATATTCCACAGAGCAAAGAAATCTATGGTTTTTTATGTATACTGTGTTAAATAAACATTAGAGCTAGTCAGGATTAGTGGGATGGTTTTATTCTTTTGGGATCAAATAATTAATAGGATGATTAATTACAATCTTTATTTGTGATTGGGATTGTTGTTGATAGCTGCATATGGAAGCCCAGAAATGGTGACATGCACAAGATGTTTCTTCATTTTGTTTGTGGCATAATATGTGGTAGCTATAAATTGTTATGGTATTATGCCTAGATCTCACCAGAAGTGCTAGGCTGCTCACAATACCACTTCATGTTGATGTAGCCTGTAGCTGTCAAGCATAACCTCAGATAAGTGAAAACTGAGAAGTACTTGATAAGTCTCATTCTGTGACCTTGCTAGGAACCTATCAGTTACATTTTTAGACTGGTGTAGTGATGAATGGATACATATCCACTGCTTGCCAATAGCATTTCTTGATGTTGAAGCTATTTTACTGTAAGAAGGAACCTTTTGTCTTTGCTTTTGAGTTTATTACATCATTCATATTCTGATTTATGAGGTGATGGTCATCCTGGTATCATACTAAAGTCTCTAAATTTTTGTTATAGAGGAGGATCAGGTAGGGATGATGGTGGTGCTGGAGAAAACGGAACTGTGACTGGAAAAGCTTGTCCTGAAGGGCTTTATGGAATATTTTGTGAGGTAGGTTGTTAACTTTTGCCATTTATAGATTTCCATATTTTTTCCTTGGTTTAAGATGAAATTTGATACTTGACCATGCTTTCATGAAACCTGTTCTATATAAAAATTGTTTATACTTTAGTTTACAACTTTACAGGAATCATGGGATATTTTTCCCCATTCTTGTACTTAAGTTATAAATAGCTACTTGCTAAACAACATCCTGGAGAAGAGAAGAGAAATGTTTTGATACTCTTTTGCATCAAATTGAAGTTATAAAAAATCAAGCAATATCCTTTTTTTTTTTTTATTGATAGGCAAAAAAACATGATTTTATTAAACGAGTATGATGGGTACTTCAACCTGTTACTAGTCTACAATCCTTTCATCAATACATAACAACAATCCAAAATAAATATCCTTTCATCAATATATTTAGCTCTGTAAGCTTATCTATTCCCATGCTTAACTGCAGTTTTTCTAAGTCTTATGCTAGTGCCCAATCCAAAATAAATATACCAGCAGGATTCCTACAATAGCCAAAACTATAAAAGCCTCACAGCTATAAAGCTCCTAACTTCTTACATTTCCACAAGGCAGAAGAGTTTAGTTACATATACTCTAACCTGATGCTGAAGGCACATTCCAACTTATATCTAGATTGTAATTTATATGGAACCTTGAATTGAATTCCTGAGATGAGATTTATTATATCCAATAAGTTTCTTAGTTAAAATTGCCCCTTTTTATGGTCAATGCTAAAATTGTCCTTTTTGAGTGTGTAACTATTT